TCCCAAACCCAAGAGAATGCAGAAATTATCCAACAATGTAATTAATATCACATGCAAGTAAAGTTTTGCTGAAGGTAATTTTTTAAATGGTTGAAAATGTATATAGACAGGGGCCTGCCAGAAATTCAAGCTGGATTCAGAAAAAGAGATGGAACTCATTGCCAATGTTAGATGTGTCTTGGTTGAAAGCAAAGAATAGGTGTTTCCTTGTGTTTTATTGACTGTGCAAAGGTATTTGATTGTGTGGGTCATAATGAACTGGAGATAACATTGCAGAAAGTGGAAATTCTAGAAGACTACACTGTGTTCCTGTGGAACCTGTACATAGACCGAGAGGAAGTTGTTCAAACAAAACAAGAAGAGGCTGCATAGTGCAACATCAGGAAAGGTGTGGGCAGAGTTGTGTCTCTTCACTATACCTTTTCAATCTGGATACTCAGAAACTGATCTAAGAATGTGGACTATATAAAGGAGAGCTGTGCATCCGAGTTAAAGGAAGGCACATGAACAGTCTGTGATATGTGGGTTCCATAACCTTGCCTGCTGAAAGTGAAGAGGGCTTGAGGAACTTACTAATGAATATCAAAGACCGGAGCCACCTGGCTGGACTTTACCGCAACAAAAAGAAAACATAAATCGTCACAATGGGACCAATAAACAACATCATGACAAATGAAGAACAGTTTAAAGTGTCAAGAATTTTATTTTACTTGTATCTACAGTTAACACTCATGGCAGCAGCAGCCAAGAAAACAAGCAACATAATGCATTGGGTAAATATGCTGCATGCAACATCTTTAAAGTGCTAAAAATCAAAGATATTACTTTGAGACCAGGTAATATGTGCGTGAAAATTGGACAATGAATAAGGAAGACCAAAGAACACTGGATACATTTGGATTACAGTGCTGGTGAAAGGTATTGTAAGTAGCACAGATTGCCAGAAGAACAATGCAATGTCTTGGAGGAAGCACAATCAGACTGCTTCTTAGAAGCAAGGATAGCAAGTATCTCACATACTTTTGACATATGATTAGGAGAGAGTGTTCCCTGTAGAAAGATCTTGTATTTGGTAAAGTACAGGATCACTGAAAAAGAGAAGACCTTCAACTAGATCGCTCGACACAATGGCTGCAATGCAAACAGAAAAAAGAAAAACCCGGGCCAGGTGACGAGGATGGAGGCAGTCAGACTTGGGGCACTTCAGCGTCAGGACGGCCTGATTGATGGGGAGAACTTGTAGGGAAAAAGTAGGAAGTAAAGTTAAATGAGGCTAATGGGGAACAAACTGGGGAGGATTTTGAATGGTGGGATAGAGAGCTTGACTTCTACAGACACTGAGGATCTGCTGGAAATTTTGGAATGTCCTAGTGGACACAGGGTTTCAGGACAACTAAGCTGGAAGAACAATTTCGAACCCAGTGGCTGCTGACAGGAAGAACCTGCCAGACGTTTTTCAAGAGTCCAGTGTGAGATGGTAAGCTTCGTCAAGAATGAGGCAGTGGAAACAGCAGTGACTAGTGGACTGAATGGTCTGGATCCTACCATGAAATCTCAGCCCCCAAGTCTTGGGCATGCTGGAGTCATCCAAGGTCTAAAGCTGTGGCTGGCCTTAATTGCTTGGTGATGCCAGAGCAACACTAGTCCACAAAAGCATGGCTTTAAAGAACAGCTGTTAACTGTCTCACAGTTTGAGAGGCATCAGCTCCAGGGGAAAGTGCTTCCTTGTGGTAACTCCAGGAAATCCCTGGCTTGTAAATGCATCTGCTTCCCATGGGTCTGTCTCCCACCATGTCTGTGTGTCTTATTCCATTTTATGATACCACTCAGAAAGGAGTAGAGTCAAGACCACACTATCTTAATATGCCCCCAGCCTCCCAAAAAGCAAGCTCACTGTCAATGCTGACTCATAGTGACCCTATAGCACAGGATAGAATAGCCCGTGCGTTTCCAGGACTGAAACTGTCTATGAGAGCAGAACCCGCCATCTTTCTTGTGAGGAGCAGCTGGTGGTTTCAAACTGCTGACCTCATGGATTTCAGCCCAATGTTTAACTACTGAACCACCAAGGCTCCCCAATGTGGCCCAATTCACATAAGAATTCCTTCTAACTAGAGTCATGCTTACAGGTATAGAGGTATGGCAGTTAAATTGTATGTCAACTTGCACCTGGGTGAAAGTTTAGCGGTTGAGCCTAACTTATCAGTCAGGTCATAGCCTGATGATGCCTCCTTGGGAATATGGCTGTGTTATAAGAGAGACACTAGGAACTTCTCCATCCTCTAGCTCTTCTCCTTCCTTCTTTCTTGGACTCAGTGTCTGTCTCTAGAGGAGCTTCCATGAGGGGTGTTGACCCTGGGAGCCAACGTGGGAGCTGTCGGCATCCTGCCATGTTTCCACTGAACCTGGGAGCCACAAGACTCTCCATCCTATGATTTGCCTACATCCTGCATCACATTCCTGTGTCATGGGCATTGGACTATGTGAGCCTGAAGAGAGTTCTGACTAGCAACAGACTCATGGACTCTGGATATAAAATTACTTATAGAAATAAAGTTCGTTTATACATATATGGAGAGAGAGAGAGAGAGAGTCACTAGTTTGTTTCTCTAGGCAACCCAGCCTAATGCAAGAGGTAATAATTTTGTTGGTGGGGTGGGTGGGTTGGGGATAAAGTCACTGCCTTGAGTTGATTCTGACTTATGCCCTGTAGGACAGGGTAGAATTGCCCCTGTGGGCTTCCAAGACCAGAACCCTTTACAGGAATACAAAGCTTCCCCTCTTCCCCATGGAGCTGCTAGTATGGCTCTTCTGACCTTGTTGTTAGCAATCTAACACATCACCCATTTATGCCACCGGGGCTCCCAACACCTGACAGCTGGAGAGATTGAATTGAGAGAAGTTGGATGACACGGACCAACATAGCACCTGGGCTACTGACTCCTGGCTCTTTCTTACCTCTTTGTGACATTGTCTTCTCTTTCTTTATCTGTTCTTTAGGACATAAACTACTAAAGTCCTAGAGAGAGTTTGGGATTTGGTAAAAGAGAGTAATAGAAGCAGCAAGAGGAAGGAAAGGAATGGACATTTATTGATGCTTGGCTCTGTGCCAGGTTCTTTATTTATGTCAATTTATTTGATTATTATAATCACTATACAGAGCAAAGAGGAGGGCAAATAAAAAAATATTGCTACTAGGGTCCAAGTTCAAATGTACACAGGTTTATTAAAAACAAAACATGTTAAACACGTTTCTGTGGCTGCATCAAGCTCTCTAAGCAATAAGCTTGTCTTAGTCTCCAGAGATCGCCTGCAAAGAGAACAGATACTTTGCTCACATGCAGAACGCAGTGGAAAGTGGAGTGTTGAAGACGCAGTCGGGTTAACATTTGGCGCCCTATCAATTGATCACCTTTATGATCCACTGACATTTTTCTCCTTTTTAATACTTTCTGCTTTCTTTTTGTTTGAGGTTTTCTTTTAATTCTATTTTACTTTTTTATTGTTGTTAGTTTGATTTTAAATGTTTTTCTGTCTATGAAATCCAGGATAGGCAAATCTATAGAGATGGTAATTGAATTAACGGTTCCTTGGGGACCGGAGAGAATAGGGGGACACGAGGAGCTAATAATAATGCGCACACGGATGAAGAAAATATTCTAAAACCAATTATGATGGTGATTGTACAACTTGTCTAGATGTGACGGAACTATTGGATTATAGGCTGTGTGAAGTAGATGTCAATAAACTGTTGGGGGAAAGTGGCTACTGAGAGGATCTGCTGGATCAGTTAAATTCAGAGCTGAGAGGTTAGCACAGAGCATCATGAAGTTTTTGGTACCTCACAGGGTAATCATTCTTGATAGATTTTCTCGAAGGACACACATGATCATGCAGGCTTTTCAGGAAGAGTGTTTTTAGTTCGTTTTTTGTTTCAATTGGAAAAATGCATTGGTGAGGAAAGTTAGGAAATTTGGATCGAGGATTCCCTCCCTACCCTTTCCCATTCTGACTATGCACCTGAGAGTCATTCTGCAAGGGTACCCAGCCAAGGGCTGTCCTTTGGGAATTTATTAGGAAACGTTAGCCCATCCACCCTACATCTCTGATCTTGAGGACTTCTCTTCATGCCCCCAATTTAAAACTTATTTTAAAAGAATACAATCGGAGTCTCTCAAAAATAAGGAATTAAGGCAAAGTCAGCGATTTGAAAGTGGGAGCTGCTTTGCAGGACAAAGATGGGGCTTTCTACTTCGGTAAACAGTGACAGTCTCAGAAACCCACTGGAGCAGCTCCCATGTCCTTCAGGGTCTCAGGAGTCGGAATCAACTAGATGGAAGGAGGGAGAAAGATGGCAGCATGTTGTGATGTAAATAGATGAGCCCAGCATTCCCTGGGGAAGGGTTTGAGATGGGGACCCCGCCTGCAGAAGTGGAGAGACCTAGAGAAAGGAAATATCAGCTACACGTTCTGACATTTTTGTTTAATAGATGGCTCTATGAATTGATAGTGATATTTTAAAAACTCTTTTTTATTGGGGGCTCTAACAGCTCTTATCACAATCCATACATATGTCTGTTATGTCAAACACCTTTGTACATATGTTGCCATTATTTTCAAAACATTTTCTTTCTACTTGAGCCCCCCTTTTCCCTTTTCCTCCCTCCCCCACATAACAATATTTTTTGCTTATCCTCATAGGTCCAAATTTGACAGAGGGGGTGTAGCAAAATACAGACAATGTTATTAACCATCTAGATCTCACAGATAGTAAACAGAAGCATTAGAGTTTGAACTCCGGTCTTTTGGATACAAGCCACCCTGACTGTCCTGTTTTATCCTAACATAATTTATCTCTGTGTAGTCGAGAATGGAGCAAATTGGCCTTAGGCAGGGGCACCTCCCTAGGGAAAGGAAGAGAGGGGGAATGCCCAATCCCACGAGTGGCCACCTGACTCTCCTTTCCTTTTGCTGGTTACAGCCACCCGTGCCTCCGAGCCATGAGCGGCCACCAGCGAGACGGCCAGGTCCCGACCTACCGTGAGTGCCTCCTGCCCTTTGTGGCTCGGACCTCCTCCGTCGCCCAGATCACACCGGCCAAGAAGATAACCTTCCTGAAGCGAGGGGATGCCCGGTTTTCTGGGGTGCAGCTGGCAGTTCACCAGCGCACGTTCAAGAGCTTCGGCGCCCTGATGGACGAGCTCTCCCAGCGTGTGCCTCTCTCCTTCGGGGTCCGCTCCGTCACCACGCCCCGGGGGCTGCACTGCCTCAGCACCCTGGAGCAGCTGGAAGATGGGGGCTGCTACTTCTGCTCCGACAGGAAAGCCCCTCAAGCCTCCGGGGGCCTTGGCAGGCAGCAGGGGAGGGGTCCCGCTGCTCAGCTGTCGGGTGATTTTGAAGGCCAGCGTGACGCATCAGGAACCCCCTCTTCCTGGAAGGGCCCTAAAGCTCCAAGGAGGATACTCCTGGTTAAGAACACGGAGCCGAGATTCCAGCGGACAGTGGTTCTCAGTCCCAGGGACACAAGCAGCTTCGCGGCCTTTCTGCGCAAAGCCTCGGATCTCCTGCACGTTCCTGTGAAGCGGGTGTTCACAGCCAGTGGGAAAAAGGTAGGCTTCTCCAAGACTCGGTCTTAAAAGAATGATCTGGGCGTTGGGTTTCTGTTACACACTGGGGAGCTTACTGCAGCAGTAATTCGTTAGTTCACACTTCTGGAAGTCTGAAATCGGGGTGCTGGTCACGCTGATTGATGCCTTCCCAGGGTTCTGAAGGAGACTGCTCCGGCCTCTGTCCTCACTTCGGGGACTGTTGGACGTTTTTGCAGTCCCTTGACTTGGGACAACAGCATCCCAGTCTCCGCCAATGTCTTCACAGACGGTCTTGCTCTATTATCTCTCTGCCAGCGTCTCTTCTCTTTTTATAAGGACATCAGTCATATGAGGGGACCCAAATTTTTTAGGAGGAATTCCATTATGTGTGTGTGTGTGTGTGTGTGTGTGTGTGTGTGTGTGTGTGTGTGTGTGTTTATTGCAGCAATTTCCACAGTAGCAAAAACATGGAAACAACCCCAAACTCCAACTATAGAGGAACGGATAAACAAGCTCTGATACATTCATATAAGGAATTTTATGTGTCAATAAAAACAAAGATAACTCTAAAAAACAAAAAACAAATGCAAGACATGGCCAATACTAGAGGACCTTTTGCTTAGCAAACTCGGTCAATCTTACAAAGACAAATATTTCATATCACTATTGTTATGAGGGAGAGAAGCCTAAGCATGGTTTATACACCATAGACAAGACTTTGATCATTATGAGGAGGTCCAGGATGGGGGTGGGAGCAGGGGGAGGGGAGGGATGGGGTGGAGGGGACCCCCCCAAAATGGGAGGTTTAACAGGATATTGTTGTTGGTTTCATTCCACTCTTTTAATTTCATTTTTTCTCACCACTTTTTTATATCCCCTCATGATGGACTAGATCCTACCTTACACCAGTATGACATCATATTAACTAATTATGCCTATAAAGATATTAGTTCAAAATAAAGTCACATTCACAGTCCTGGGGATGAGTACATGAACACATCATTTTGAATATCTTTTGTCTTAGAAGGAGGCTGTTGACTTCTCTGCGACCAGATTAAGGTGGTTAGAGGGGAGGCATTCAGTAAGTTTGTCAAGTAAGCAATTGCTCTTCAGTTAGCCACCAGGTAAGGAACACTGATGAAGTGCCAGGCTCTGGGCTTCCTGGCCTTTGCACTCTTTACTTCCCCATTGTTCTTCGCAACTGATTTCCGTGAACGTTCAGGTCAGGAAGGAGACACTGCTAAATCCCTGAAGCAGAAAGCAGTTTAATGCAGGAGGCGGGAGGCTTTGCATTGTAAGATGTATCTTTGGAGAGTTGCAGGATTGAACTCCAGCTGGATCTGCAGGAATGGCTCCCAGGATCCTGCAACAAACAGCTCCCTTTGCTTGGCCCTACTGTCATCCTTAGTATAAGAACACTTCCGTGGGCACCAAACAGATAAGTCTGCGATTTGGAAACGGACCAGCTGCTTCTTGACACCAGAAAATACTGAGTCTCCTCGTCAGCCTTAGCTGTCATTGTTTCCTGTTATCATCATACCTTGGAAGTAAATAATGCCCAAAGAAAAGATAGTATTGGTCCGTTTTTGCCTGCCATATGCTGACCCAAGACACCTAATTGATGGAAAACGCAACCTATATCCCGTTCTAACTGTAAAGAAGGCTAGTGAATGTAATTGTTGCTTTCCCAGTTTCTGCAGAGCATGAGCAAAGGTGGGTGAATCGAATGGATGTCTCCCCACAGTCCAATTTTCTAGCTACGTATTTAACATCTGTATGCACCATGCTATTAATACTTATTTTTCAAACAGCAGCTAAAGTAACACATTCCGATCTTAGAGTGTAGTGCTCTTTTTTACAATCAAAGCATATTGATTCTGCACAATCTCACCAGTTGCCATATTCATCCCTCCCCTAGGTCACAATCTAGTCATAGTTATATCTTAATATCCTGTATTTCAAGGATGAACTATCAAGTCCATACTGCCCACTTTATATCAAATAATATAGGCAAACAGGAGTAAAAAATAGAACTTTAGTTAGTATACAAATACATAGCAGAGCGGTGAAGAAAATTAGTTTATCAACAAGGTTGTTATTAGTATTTAACTTTTTTTCCACACTCCATTGCATGCTCCTTCTGCCCTCAGTCAGCACTCCAGCTAATGGAGGTTCTGTACCTGTTAGAATGACTGAACCATTATCCTCCAGGCATCTGAGCCTTTGATGGTTCTTACATTGTGTTATTTACTGTGAACTTGTACTACTCTTTACCCACTGGAAGTGGCAGCTCCAGAGAGCATTTCAGAAGCTTTACAGGATAATGAATGTTTTCTTCCCCTTTCTCATTGTGCAACAGCAATTCTATTTCCCCTTGATCATCAAAATCAAACATCTCCTCTAACCAAGAAACCCTCATGTTGTCTACTAGTTCAATGTTGTAAAGAGCTCCACATAGTTGGGAGATTGCCTCAACTTTCAGATCATCAAACCAGTGCTATGTCTCATACAGGGAACACCCTACCCTGGGTTCTGAGATATCTAAGCCGGCAAAGTTCAAAGTTGCTGGTATGAAAAGCAACATTTTTACATTTGGTACATATTTTTTGACAGAATATAACTGCCTTTTCTTTCTTCTTCAAAAAAAATCTATCATTTTATTGGGAGCTCTTACAGATATTCCATAGTTCAATCACATCAAGCAGTACCAGTACATTTTTAACATTAGGTCATTAGGCACAATAGTGAAAGGAGCCATTCTTCTTACTCCTTAATTCTTACGTATCTGTTATCTGTCAAGAAACAGCATTATGTACTGGTTGCTACTTCAGACCACATATCACATTTGGAAAGACAACACTTCAACATCATGAAGTGATATCTTTCAGCTGGTTCCCAAGTTGAGTCTTTGATGGAACAGACCATTAATTGCTCATAGGTAAGTTCAGGATAATGCTGAAGGAAATTAAAACAAGTCTACAAGAGCCAAAATACAACCTTGCATTTATCCCCCATGAATTTTGAGAACACCTCAAGAACAGTTTTGACATGTTGGACAGTAATGAGAGAAGACCTGATAGGCTATGGGAGGATATAGAAAATATCATTTATGAGGAGAGCAAAAGGTCCCTAAAGGCCTAGAAAGAAAGAAAGAAAGAAAGAAAGAAAGAAAGAAAGAAAGAAAGAAAGAAAGAAAGAAAGAAAGAGAGAAAGAAAGAAAAGATCAAAGTGGATGTCAGAAAAGACTCCAAAATCAGAGTAGCTAAAGCAAATGGAAGAAATGATGACGTCAAAGAGCTGAATATAAAGTTTTCAAAAGCAGCTCAAGAAGACAAAGTAAACTATTATGATGAAATGTGCAAAGACCTAGAGCTAGAAAACCAAAAAGGAAGACCACGCTCAGCAGATTTCAAACTGAAAGAATTCAAGAGAATATTCAAGTCCTGAATTGCAATATTGAAAGATTATATAGGCAAAATAATGAATGATCCAGGAAGCATCAAAAGAAGATGGAAAGAACACACGAAGTTATTGTACCATAAAGAACTAGTTGACATGCCACCATTTCAGGAGGTAGCATATGAGCAAGAACCAATGGTGCTGAAGGAAGAAGTTCAAGATGAACTGAAAGCATTAGTCAAGCAAGACTACAAGATGGAATAGCAACTGTTTCACTAAGCTGATGAAGCACTGAAAGCACTTACTCGTCTATGCCAGGACATCTGGACAGCTTCTTGGCCAGTTGACTGAAAGAAATCCATATTTGTACCCATTTGTGTCAGTCTGGATAGACTAGGGAAACAATTTCATAAACACACATATGTATATAAGGGAGAGGTTGATATACAAGAGGAACTGAACATTGAGAAAACATCCCAACCCAGTCCAGTCCAAGGCCATAAGTCTGATATTAGTCCATATGTCCCATTCCAAGCTATAAAGTCTCTTCAGACTTACGAAACACATGCAATGAAGCCAAATGTAGGACGACCACAAGTCAGTGGGTAAAAAGTCTTTGGGTCCAGGGGCATTGTAAGCATCTCAGTGCTGGCAGGGGTCTCTGTGGCTTCTCCAGCTTCTGAGGTCTGGTTGCGTCCATGTGGCTTGTCTTCTGCAATATCTCCCCGGGAGTAGCAGAGAGAGAGAGGTGTCTTCCGCCTCCAAGGAGGAAGTACTGGATTTCCCAGAATTCTCAGGAGAAGGCCAAGCCCACACAGAAGTCTCATTGGCTATCTCCAGATTGACAGTTCTTAATCCTTAAACTGACACCAGATTAGGTGACTACCACACCATTCAGAGAAAGGGGACCCAACAGAATGCTCAAATTAGAAAACAATGTCATTGATTTCAGAAGCAAGTAAAATTTTACTGAGGATGATCCATCAACAATTGCAGCAGTACATTGACAGGGAGCTGCCAGAGGTTCAGGCCAGATTCAGAATATAATGTGTAACAAGGGATATTATTGCTTGTGGAGGGAGGTCAGACTGCTGTCTCGCCCCACCACAGGGGTGGGCCTGCTCCCTAATGCTGGGGACAATGGGCAGGCTCCTGTAGGTGTAATTCACACCCTACTGATAATGATCTCTGTCAATTGAGCCAGGAGCAAGTAAAACCAGCTCTGTGACATCCAAAGTTAAGCTGCCATCCTAATTCTAGGATCCCCCGATCTTGTCACATGTATACCCCCAAACCCTCCTCTTCCTATTGCGTGTATGTCCCTAGACCACCCCCTCTCATTGCTGTACTACCCATAGTGCAACCCCTTCCTGAGACGTATGCCTTTACCTATAATTAGTGGGCTTGCACGCCCCCAAAAGGTATAGAGGCCTGGATTAGCAATAGAGGTCTCTCTCGCTGGTCTCTCCCTCTCTCTCCACTCTCCTCCTCTCGCCTCTCTTCCCCCTCTCCTCTCTTCTCCTCACTCCCTTGTTCCCTTGGCCTCCTTCCATTCCCCCTCTCTCCACGTGGACCATCAAGCGGGGCTGAGGTGAGCAATGCTACCATGTAATATGTCTGAC